TTATTTATTTATTTAGTGTGTGTGTGTGTGTGTGTGTGTGGCCAGCTCAGCCCACCAGGGGGCGGGCTGGCTGGCATGTGGTGCTTGGGGATTGAACTGCAGTCCTTGTGCTTTGCCAAGCTTGTTCCAAGTAGGTGCTTTAGACCACTGAGCCATCTCACCAGCCCACTATTTTCTTTTTAATTCATTCATTATTATTCTGTGTTGAGTATTGAACCTGGGGCTTTGTTATGCCTGGTGGGAGGGTCTCTGAGGGGCTACAAGTCCCCTGTAATGACCCTTTTTTGGCTATTTTTGGGCCCTTCCTCTTACTGCAGTGAAGGATGGGAAAGTGGCAGTCTTAGTGAGATATGGGAGACTGAAGAATCCCACTTGGGATAACCCAGTGAGTATGAGATGTTTCTGTACTTATAGGGGCAAACTGTTTTGTTAATTGGTGTGGGATAGGCCAATCAGTCCTAGTCTTTGTTTCTGGGAAGTGGACAAGTTCAGTTGGGAATTTTTGTGTGTGTATGTGTGGAACCCGGGATTGAACTCAGGCCCTTGTGCTTGGCAGGCGAGCACTTTTTCTGAGCCATCTCCTAGTTGGGAATTTTTTAAGTGTACAGTGAGTGTAACATTTTCATAAAGAATATAGTAGGGTACATTTTTTTCAAGGACATGGTACATGTCTCATTTACTTTTCTCATTGCTGAGACAAAATACCTGCCACCCAAAGCTAAAGGGGTAAAGGTTTATTTAATGGGGGGGTATATCTAGACACACGCCATAACAGTACATGATAAGCATGTGATGATCTGATAATCATCAGGCACAGATAAGCATGGAATCATACTTATTTTACAATGTTATTCATCTGGTTTTTGTTCTGGGTTTTTATGTTCCTCTGCCTCAACAGCTTCACATATGCCCTGACCCTAAAAAAGCCTTCCCAATAAAACATGCTGGCCTCTACAAACAACACTAATCTTTGCTGCCCTCAGCAAACAACTGATGGTAATACAGACACTAAGGGCTGGACTCGCCGTCTCCATAATCCTCAAAGACCCAGCTTTAGATGCACACCTTGTGCTGATCATCCTTGCAGCTTTGACCTCAAATATTCCATCCAGATTCTTTGTGACTATAACTCTCAACCCCAAACCAGATATATACTTAGCCTTCCCTCCAGATATTCGCTGATATCACTCCAATTCCAGCCTGCCTGTACCTATACAGAATTGTATCATATTATATAGCTTTCTTTCTTACAGCTTCATCTCCAGGGTGTTTCTTCACACTTTGTTAATTAACACGGCTAAGCATGTACTCAGCAATGAGCTATAACCCCCCTCTCTATGCATCTTTACATAGGCCTCTATTAGTCCTAGAACTTTCTTACATACTACTAGAATCTGTCTTTCTTTTCGTCCTCACTGCCACAAGAATCCAGACCATTATCTTCTCACAAGATAATGGAAGATCCAGACCATCTGATCTTCCAGCCTTGCATCCTGCCTTCTCAGATCATCAGCTGTCAGATGATCATTTCTAAAAACACTTATTTGGTAACGTCCCGATGGAGTTCTGGGGCCTACAGCATACACAATTTGAGAGGCTCTTTCAGAAAGGTAATACAAAATGAAGTAGCACTCCTTAAAAGGGGCCGGGTAAATAAATGACAGATCCTGAAAAGCCTCATTGCAAATCTGCGTTTGCTTGTATTTCTGGTCAAATTTTCTCACACCTCAGAAACAATGCATGCCATTTCCATCTGTAAGGTGTGTTTTTCCCTAATTAGCTCCCTCAATATTGAACCACCATATCTGATCACCAGTACTCTGATCCAGCTGGGAAAGAGGCCTTTTAGGAGACCCTCACTCTGCTCTAAGAACCTAGGAGCTAGCACTTAGTTGCCTGACCCTTCTGTTTCCCACTTCCTAGAGGGATCCCCGCGGCGCGGTTACACCGACTGTACAGTGCTGGGCGGGGCCCAGGGAAAGCACCCGAGACCTAATGCCCCTCCTTAGCCCTCCCCTTTGCCCATGCTCCTCCTTGAAACGTGCGCGCGCACGCCCGCGGAACCTGCGGGGCTTCGGCCGCAGTTCCTCGCCGGAGTTACCCTGCGGCGCACTCTGACATGGCGGCGCCGATACTGAGGGGTGTCCGTGAGGTGATGAGGCTTGCGGACTTCGCGCCAGTACCGCGGAGACATCGACATAAGAAGAAATGGGTAAGGTCTGGCAAGCGGCGTAGGTGGAAAGCTCGTGGTCGCGTTACATTTCCTCTCCCTCCTCCGTAGCGTTCATTACTTCTGCCCCATTAGAGCGCCTCGGCATTTTTCTCGCGCCCCTCAGAGAGCGTCGTCGCCTACTTATATCTGCGGGTCTCTGCTCCCGTCTGCGCTTTTACTCGTCACGAGTCTCCGTCTCCTTTTCCCCAAACGAGTGCCACCCTGACTCCGCCCCCTTAAGTTACGTCATCGCCCACCCTGTTCTTTCCGTTAAGTCACCACCTCTTCCTGGTGCTTACCTTTCCCTTGGCCCCCACTAACCCTTCCTGTCTCCCCTCCCTTTTTCTCCTTCTCCCCTTCCCTCCCCTTTCCTTTCCTCCCCTTTTCTCCTACCCCGGTCCATCATGACTTCTCCTTTTCTCAAACTTTCAGCCCAGTTGCCAGCACCCCTTGGACAGTGTCATAACAACGACCCCTTCCCTCTTCCTACTTCGCCTTGTGGAAAAGGATTCAGCCCCGTCCTCACCCTCGAGCTGGGGAAAGGTTACAGCGACCACCCTAACCATATTACCAACCCTTCCCCAAAGACGGGCAAAGAGTGCAATGACCTCTCTCACCCCAGAGACCCTTCATCTTGTCTCACTGGCAAGTCCCCCAGTGTACCTCGAAGGATCCCCTCCCCACCTCCACCAGCTCCTTCCTCCCTCCCACAGGGTTCTTTTGAACCCTGTTCTCCCACACTCTTTGGAAGGCCCTGTTGCCTCGGTCTCAAACTCCCTGCTTCATCCCCCACAAGCCCTTGCCTTGATCGGTTAGGCATTCCTGGGCCATCCCCTCAACCTCAGCAGAGCCCTTATTGCAGTTTGGCCAGTACCCCAAGAATGCAGCGTCCTTGTCCTCCAAGTTCGCTCTTTGACCAGCACACTTACCTTTATTACTGTAGTCCGGTGGCCTCACCTCAGCTTATCCACATACCCTTGGAAACTGGTCCCATAGTTTCACCTCCTCTCACTTCAGAGTCTGAGGGAACTTGTCCCATGATTTCACCTCCCCTTATTCATAGGCCCCTGGGAACTGGACTTTCAGTTTCACCTGTACTTGTTCATCGGCCCATGGAAAGTAGACCTATAGTTTCTACAACCCTTTCTCATGGGCCTGTGGTCTCCCCTCAAGACTCTCATTGGTCCTCAGGGAGGAGTTATAATGATCCAGCCTCTCCTGCTCCTTCAGCATCTTCCCGACCTACTGACAGCCTTTGCCATGACCACCATAAGCCTTCAGACTCTTGTGAACCCAAGCCACAGCTTGATGTGTCTCTTGGCAAAAATTGTGGCTCCATACTTTCTTCTCAGGCGGGCATCTCTGGCTCACCTCAGGAGGGTTCTTTTCATTACTCTCATATTTCCACAGAGGCCCACATATCTGCCCCTGGGAGCCCTTACTGTGCCATCCGCTTACCCCCTGAAAATACTGGTTCTTCTTGTGCGCCCCAGTTCCAAGCTCCCAAGAAGCCTTGCTTTGAGTCTCCTTTTTCCTGGGGGACTGGTGGGACCTCTTACCTCCTCCTCACCCCTGGCGCCATAATTTCTGGTCCTCCCTGTCCCCCAGAACCAGCTCTTTCTCATTGTCCTTATTCTGACTTCTACTTCCCTTCACCCCTAGGCAACCAATTGATAGCTCCACCACAGACAGTCCCCCGAAGAAGTTATAATGAACCCCCTCTCCCTATACCAGTTTCCCCCCATGTGAAGTCCCCCAAATTCTCAGAGGTAAAACAGCCACGTACACCCCACAAATGTCACTCCTTAACCAATACTGCCCAACATACTCCTGGCCAACCCAAGACCCTTAAGGCTAGCACTTCTCCTCTGCCTCCCCACCAGCCCTCTGGACTCTCTGGTTCTTGTTGTATAGAGTCATCCATCACAGCTCCTTCAAATTGCTACACTAAAGAACTTCCCCCAGGCACTCCCTTACCCAGTGTGGTCCCTGGAGCCATCAAACCGATTTTCCCTACTTCTCTTCCTCTCTGTGTTCCTTGTGATCCTGTTTTACCCAATAGTTACGCTAAGAGCAGTCCCCAAGGAGCCTCCTTGGTATCTCCCTGCAATACCCATATGTATTCCGTGGTTCCCCCCACCTCTAATCCCTGTCTACCCTCTAATTCCCTCATTCACTCTACAAGGCCCCCTCAGTGTCACAACCAGCCTATAGTACCCCCCTATGGTTCCCATGGTGCTCCCAGGGGCCCGCCCCTACTCCCTTGCAAGCCTCCTTGTTCTACCCACATCTATTCTTTTGTTCCTCTGAGAACACCCTTTGACCCCCAGTGTTTGCCCATTGTCCCTCGAGTTCGACCTTGCCCTGACAACATGCCCTGTGGCCTTCATACCTACTCTGTGGCCTCTCAAGGTCCCTGCAAAGAGCCCCCCCAGATTCCCTATAGCTGCCCTTTGCCTTCCCCCCAAAGCTCTACATGTAGCACTAATCCAAGCTGTAGTTCCACCATTGTGAGTGAATGTCATAGTAGTGACAGCAAGAGCAGCCACCAAAGCAAAAGTCGAAGCCAAAGCAGAAATCGCCACCAGAGCAGAAGTCCAGGAAGGAGCAAGAGCTCTCATCACAGCCGGAGTAGAAGCCGGAGCAGTAGTCCTCACCAGGTCCTCATTCAGGACCATGGTGCAAGTCCTCACAGGAGCAGAAGTAGGAAACGGAACAAGAGTCCCCACAGTGCTAAAAGCCAGGGCCAACACAAGAGTCCTCATCATGGCAGGAGTAAGAAGCAGAGCAAGAGTCCCCAAAATAAGAAGAAATGAGAGCAGAAATTCTGACCAGACCAAAAATCTAAGCAGAGCAAAAGTACAGATGGTAGAAAGACTGCCAGTAATAGCAAACATTCCAGCTGTGGATACCGAGACCAAATTGTGGACTGCAGTAGTCATGTGAAGTTGTTTTCCTTTTAGTCTGCCTTTGTGCTCTTTAGGCCTGACTCATGTGCCCCACTGATATCCCCATAACAATCATTCTCAAAGTTCTTGTTTCAGTGAGCCCTGGTTATTCCATATCTTACTCCTGGGGCCTGGGAACTCCCAGAGCAACCCTATCTGATTCTGAGCATTATGTTACTACTCACTCTATGGTCTTAGGTAAGTTATCCTCATTTCTCCATCAAAATTTTTGTTTTGTTTTTATATCCTACTGAGCACTTGTATTCACATAAGCTAGAAGACAATTTTTGGAAAATGGGCTGTTCAGAGGCAGAGTTTTTTCTTTTTTTAGCCTAAAGCTTTCCTGGGCTTCTGTAATCTTCTAGCCCTCTTCAGGCTCTCCTCTGGAGTTTTCTGTTGAGCTTCCATTCTCTTATATTCTACTCCAGGCCTCCTTCCCTCTCACTGTGCTGGAGGTAAAACCCAGGGCATGACTTATATCAGGCAAATACTCTAACACTGATTGACAACCCAGTCCAGACTTTCCTTCTTCTTCTTCTTCTTTTTTTTTTTTTTTTTTTTCTGGTGGAACCGGGGATTGAACTCAGGCCCTTGCACTTGACAGGGAAGCGCTTATTCTACTGAGCCATCTCCCCGGCCCCCAAGACTTTCCTTCGTGATGAGCCCTCGTCACCCACATACATAGTTACTGTAAGCAGACCACCTCCCTTTTACAATCCTGAGAAGAAAAGGCCAGCTCCTTGTTACTTTCCTTTTATTTTCTTCCCTATTTATTTGTTTGGTTTGTTTTTTTGAGACAGGAGCTTGTGGTTCAGTCTGGCTTTGAACTCACTATTTGTAGTCCAGGCTTGCCTCAAACTCATGGTAATCCTTCTGCCTTAGCCTCCCAAGTGCTGGGATCATAGGTGTGTGCTGTCATGCCCAGCCCTCCCTCCTTTTCTCTACCACACTGTGGCAGGAAGAGGCAGAATACAAAGGCAGGAGTGGACATCAGCTGGTTCCTACTTTGCTCCTTGGCTCTGAGGTTTTGGTGAGGTCAGGCAAAAGTGGGAAGATTAGTAAGCCTGCCCTTTCTCTTTTAGGCTGCCACAGAACCCAAGTTCCCTGCCAGTCGACTGGCTCTGCAGAATTTTGACATGACCTATAGTGTGCAGTTTGGGGATCTTTGGCCATCAATCCGAGTCAGTCTCCTCTCAGAGCAGAAGTATGGTGCGCTGGTCAATAATTTTGCTTCTTGGGATCATGTGAGTGCTAAGCTGGAGCAGCTGAGTGCCAAGGACTTTGTGAGTGCAGCCATGTCCCACTGGGAACTGGAAGCTCAGAGTGGCCATTCTACAACCCCAACCTACAGTCCAAACCTTCGATGCTTCACTTTTGCCAGAGGGGATGTCAGCCGCTTCCCTCCTGCCAGGTAGGATCTAGAGCCATGGCTGTGGCTGTCCTGAGTGCTTGTCGGGAGCAGACTGCAGAGACCTAGTTCCTGGCCTCTCTAATAGGGATCACAATATTTCTGGTGTGCTTCTGCAGTCTGGGTGTTTAATCTAGGTGCTATGCCTGTGTTACATGTTCTGCCCATAACCAGATCAAGTAGGTGATGTTATGCTTTTGTTTTACATCTGAGGAAACTTGATGCACAGAGAAGCTAAGGTATTTTTACTTGTTTTGAGTTGTTCAATTAGTGGTGCAGGTAGTTGCTCCCCCACTTTTTTTTTTGAGACAAAGACTTGCCATGTACCCCAAGCTGGCCCCAAATTCATGGTAATTCTCCAACCTCAGCCTCTCACGTACTGGATTATAGGCATGAACCACTGCTCCTGGCTTGATTTTTTTGTTTTTTTTGTAGTCCTGGAGATTGAACCCAAGGCCTTTACATTGAGTTCATTCCCAGCCCTTTTAATTTTTTGAGAAAGGGTCTACTTAAATTGCCCAGGCAGGGCTCAAACTTTGATTTTTTTCCCCCCCAGAACCAGGGATTGAACTCAGGCCCTTGCGCTTGCCAGGTTTTCTAATTTCTGGTTGTTTTTTTTTTTTTTTTCAGAACCAGGGATTGAACTCAGGCCCTTGTGCTTGCCAGGCAAGCGCTTATTCTACTGAGCCACCTCCCCGGTCCCCAAACTTTTGATTCTTGTGCTTCATCCTTTCATAGTATTAGGATTTTAGATACACACCACTGAACTTAAGTGGGAGTTGATTTTAAAGGCTTCATTGATTCGTTTGGCAAATATTTACTGCTTGTCAAATGTCAGGCATTTAAATGCCTACCTTAGTAGTATATAGACCCTTATGGAGCTTCTAGTCCATTGAGGAAGAAGGATACTAAAAAATGATTTATAGAGCTAGCTAGATAGTTCAGCAGTCTAAAGTGCCTGCTTAGGCAAGCTTAGGCAAGTGTGGGAACCACAGTTAGATCTCTGGCACTGCATGCCCCACTAGCCCTGCCCCCAGGGGCGGGCTGAGCTGGTCACCA